ACTTAACCCTTTGAAGCATACATATTTTCCTTTCAGCCGATTTTTCTTAAACTTAATACTTGAGGGGGTTTTTTTTGGATCGTTCGATTACGATTCTGGTGTCAGAATTACAAAATTCAAATGCAGGTTTTCAGGCGCCATGTTGGACCCGTCATTATGAATTTTGTAAATCCGACCTCACATGTGCAATCTGGAAAACTTCCGAGTACCGAGTTCCAGATAAATCGATTGCAATTTTGACTCTTTATATTGGATCCGTCATCTTGGATTTTCAAATTTTCACACCTTTCACTTCAGATTAGAAAAATCAGTGATCTCAAAAACTCGCAGACACCTAGTTTCGGAATGTCGTTCATAGGAATAAGTTTTTGACCACAGGATATCTTTTAGAAAACGATAATTTTTAATCAAAACTTTAACTTTGAGCTGCTCTATTGAATCAATCGTCGATAATTTTAGGATTTTTACTTGAGATTCAGAATTAGCAAAGCAGGAACCTTCTAGACAAGAAGTAGTAAAGACATCGGAGAAAGAATTGTTGGTTTTTCTAATTTCAAGAGGTATAGCATACACGTTACACCGTGTTCGAAAGAGTTAAACTTATTGTTGGAAAATCTGTTTAAAGGATAACGCAATTCACTCGAAAAAATCTTAACTCAAATAGATTTCTAGGTGTCGCGACAGAAATTTATCGCCATTTTTGTGTCTGTTAGAAAATTGTTTGTAGCCTGTAAAATTTATAGCCTCAACACTCTAGTAATAACTTCTGAAAAGTGTAGGTTCTATGACTCATAAATATTAATAATTTGCATTGTCGCATCAAAATGAATTTTTACCATAGTTAGAACAATCTTTGTAAGGAATCTAACTGTTCATGTACCACCGTGCATATTGACGCGAGCACGTGTTGACGTGAAATGACGCGAGACGTGTACAATCTCTGGCAAAATATGTATCTGCTTATTTATTCGCGACAGCCAATTAATATTCGCATTGTACGCATTCGCAGAGGGAAGTCGTTTTGAGCTTATCCGCCGAGCGCGACAGAGAACTCGACGTTACACAATTTTGTGATTCACTGCTCGGCTGTTTGTCTCTTTAGCGGAATAACAATGGCCAGGCGAATTGTTACGTATATTCCTTCCAAGTTTATTTATGTCTTCTTCTTGTTCGGGAAACGCTTTGTCACCGCCTTTATCGGCGCCGTCGCCGTTACCGCCACGTCGCACTAGTTGCACCGTTGCGCCGTAATCGCGGACATTCGTACGACACGTGTGTGCGGCCGGCGACGTCGTCACGATTTGCAAAGCTCCGACGAGGTCGCCGGGGAGGAGAGAAGGAAGATTACGCCGATCGCGGGCCGGGATCTTCTACGATCCGCGACGTCGAGGTCGACACGGTGCGCGCCCCAAGAAAAACGCAGTCACGTCATAAAGATAGTTCGACGCGGGTGCCATGCGACTCGACGCGCACTGCACATACGAAAGCTACCGGTGCCTCGACATCTTCCCTCGAAAATACCGAGGTCGATAAGGCTGATGGTAGAGAACCGAGAAAATTTTCAAGCCTGTTGATTGGCCGCGGGATAGAAAAGTTGTCGAGTATCTAGAAATTTTCTAGCTTGCGGCCAATCAACGCGCTTAAAAAATTTGTCGTACGACAAATCAGCCTAATATTACATTTGTCGTACGACAAATTCTTCAAGCGCGCTGACTGGCTGCAGAATAGAAGATTTCTAGATATTCGAGAATTTTATCCTGCAGCCAATCAACGCACTTAAAAAAATTTGTCGTACGACAAATGTCGTATTAGACTAAGGGTCAGAGCACAAAGCAACGTAATAGCTTACAACAAAGACGTAAGCGTAAACGTAGATGTCGTACTTACGCACAATACTTCAATAACGTTACTTCAATTACATATGACGTTACATTTACGCAAAAGCTTGTGCGCTATCTACGTTTACACTTGCGTCTTTCCCTAAGGTCTGTTACCTCTGGTCCACAATCTTGCTATAAGTAAGCTATAAACCTTGAGCCGTAAGAATTTAATCAATCACAGGTGAGAGTGAGGGGAATAAATGCCTGTGATTGATTAATTTCTTACGGCTTAAGGCTTACAGCTTACTTAAAGCAAGATTGTGGACCAGGAGTTATACAATACGTCGTATGTCGCTGAGAAATTAATTTTTTTTAAGTATTGTGTAACAGGCCTAAGGCTGCTGTTACATTTGTTGTACGACAAATTTTTCAACCGTGTTGACTGGTTGCAGGATAGAAAAGTTATCAAATCTCTAGATATTTCTATTTGTAACAAATAGAGAGAGAGAGCAGAATGGCTATCTTGTATTCTTAAGTCATAAGACAGTTATTGTGCGTTACTTTAAGACAAGGATTTAAAACGTAAAACATTGTCTTAAGTGCCCATCTACAATAGATGATTTAAGCCCTAAGCCTTAAGAAATTGACTTCTCAGTCAATTTCTCAGGCTTCACAAACTCAGACTTAAGCGTTTACGGATCGTTCTCTGCTTTAGGCTGATATTACATTTGTCGTACGACAAAATTTTTTAATGCGTCAATTGGCTGCAGGGTAGAAAATTTCTAGAGCCCCGAGAACTTTTCTATTCAGCAGCCAATCGACACGCTTGAAACATTTGTCGCGCGGCAAATGTAATATTAGCCTGAGACGCAAGTCGATGTCGGAAGTCAAAGCACAAAGAATTGTCGCAGACGTATGTCGCGTTCATTGCATCGCAAGGTGATGTGCTTACGTATACAATTCCTTGTGCGTCGACTTCCGACATTGACTTAAGTCTTACGACGGAATCGTAAACGGTTAGTGCCGATCTACAATACAGATTGAACCCTAAGTCTTCAAAAATTGACTAATCACAGTCGCGTATTCTACTCATACCTGACCGTGGTTGGTCAATTTCTTAAGGTTTAAGCCTCGTCTACATAGAAGTCGTAAAGTCGTAGTCGTAAGAATAGTCGACTATGATTGGTCAATTCTTATGTGTCTGACGAAATTGACCGATCGCAGTCGATTATTCTTACGACTACGACTCTGCGACTCTGGGACTATTCACAGTCGCGTATTCTACTCATACTTAACCGTGATTGGTCAATTTCTTAAGACTTAGGGCTTAAATCGTGTATTGTAGACTGGGACTTACGACAATCTTTCTGCTCAGGGCCTACTTTGTAGTCTTCTTCTCTTTTTAATCGAGAACATCATCTCGAGTTATCGAATTATAACGAAATGAACGAATAGAGGCGCGGCATCCTCGAATCGATCGCGCGCGAAAAGGTTAAAAGACAGTTATTTTAAGTGTAAAGCAGACCGGTTTTAGCTCTTCGATTTTCCCTCGCCGACCGCAATGCTCCCTTTCGCCGCGAGTTCGTCCGCGACGACGTTCGCAACGTCCGAGAGAATTGGCGAGACGGGAGACAAATTACCGGAGCGCGTACGCGCGGGCCACCCGGTACGTCGCCGCTCATCAGCTGATCGGCCGCGGTGTGCGAAGCCGCGTAAACACGGGTCTAATCTATATGCCAGCGTAATAATGCCTGCGCTACAATTGTGACGTTGTGGCAAATGAGACGGACGGGTGTAATTGCCGATTTCGTCGGAATTGTACACGCGTGACTCGTTACTCGCGTTACTGCGACGAATAACGAGTCGCGGCGCGGCATTTCGGTGGTGAGGTTAGATCGGTTTGGGCAGTTGGAATTTAAACGAGTGTCACACGACTCGTCTCTCGCTGCATAATCAACTTTTTCAAACAAAAAGTCGCAGGTCTCGCAATCGAAAACAGTATTATCAGTTTCCCGATCCAAGTTAAATCACTTGCTGTCGTGGCTCTTGCGCGAATGACGTAATTAAAATTCAAATTTCTCGCACGCGGTTAAAAAGTCAGTATCGTCCTTTCGCGACGCTTGGAGTAAAACGTGGATTCTTGGGGTGATTTAAAATGCGTGTCTCTTAGCGCCCATTCTCACAACTCGTTTGGCTTTTTGCAGAACTGCTGGACAACCTGAGACCAGTGTCGCCAAAGCCGGGCCATATGGAGCGCATAAAAACACCCCTTGGAACTTCCGGCGCGACTGCAGACGAGGATGAACAGCCGTTCAGGGAAAGATTTCTGAAAATTAATGTCAGGCATATCACAGATGGCCAGGTGATTGTCTCTACTTTTAAGTACCTGTACATTCCACGCGGGGGTCTCAACATTTTCTGAGGTTTGAATATTCTTGCAGGGTGTAGTCGGCGGTGTGCTGTTGGTCACGCCAAACGCAGTTATGTTCGATCCAAACGTGTCCGATCCTCTCGTCATCGAGCACGGTGCTGAATCTTACGGAGTGATTGCGCCAATGGAGTTCGTGGTCAATGCTGCAATTTATTACGATATCGCGCACATGAGGGTCTCCCATACCGAGTCTGGACACTTGGACAAAAAACCTGAGATTTATTACATGAAGAAACCCCAAGTAGTCGATCGTAAATGTCAGTCTCCGGGGAAGGATGAGAATTTCCCGGAATTAGCAGGCGACGATAGCGAAAGTGTGTGTAGCTGCGCTGAGAGAGATGGCGATGCTTTTCCAAAGGCCTTTGAGCGAGAACTTGTCACTCCCACTAATCTCCAGGGTGTACGTATTGTTTTGTTGCAATGCCTACGTTTATTGTGCGAAGCGAAATGTTGGAATCGTATTTTTCATCAATATATCGTTGTTACAGGAGGAGAATTCAACCTCGACCAAAGATAAAGAGAAAGAGAAAGACAGTAACGAGAAAGAATTCTCCACTGGCGGCCAAGGTAGTAGAACTCTAGAGGAACGCAGACGTTCCATGCTTGACCATCATTGGGCGGTTCCTAGCAAAGATCGGAGTACGTTCTCTGTTGACGACGAACAACAAGATTCGTTAAATTCTGATAAGGTGATTATATTTTTGTCGTAATAGCATGAAGAATTGGTGTAATTTATAAAATTTATAACAAATTTAAAAATTGATACAGGGTGTTCAGCGTAACGACCTACATAATTTTTGGAACGCTTCCGGCGGTTTAAAAAGACGGTGTAAGCTCTGACTAGAACATGAACATTTGTAAACGTGAACGTTGAAAATTGTCTGGGAACTTTTCGCATTGTAAACACATAATCATTATCATGAGTGGTTGTTCTTTGAGTTCTCTTCAGAAGTGGACATTAATCGTTTCATTAGGTGCACTGAATCATTCTTCTCATTCGGAAAAAGCTGATGTGCTACTAATATTTGGTGAATGTGGAAGAAAGTCTCGTGAAGCTGCAGAGTATGAACAGCGATATCAAGGTAGAAATCATCCATCAGAGAAAGCTTTTAGAAACATTGAACAGCAGTTTGTGGAGAACTGGAAAATTTCCTGATATCCGTAAAACGTCCTAATCGAAGTCGCGTAGTTACAAATAGTAATAATTCTGCAAAGGTAGTGGCTCACTTTTAAATCCACAATACTTCGTTTCATGTTGTCGTTGCTGAAACATACCAGTTGGAAGTGCACATAGAATAAAACAAAAGACAATAAGTATCATCCATTTAAGTTAACTTTAGTACAACATTTATGTCCAACTGACGAGATACGATATTTAGATTTCAAGCATGGCTTGCTGCTGTTTAGGAGAAAAATTCTTATGTATTAGATAAAATTATATGGACGGATGAATTGAAATTTATCAGTAACGACGGTATTTTCAACAATCATAATTACGCTTCTGGTCATCAGGTTCATATTAGACTCGAGAACGGAATTTTTCATTTTTATCTAAAATAGGTTTTTGTTTAGGTTTTTGTTAATCAAATTATAAAGAGAGGCAAGGGCAGACTGGGTATTGACAGGAGAACTGAAGTTGTCTACAAGATCAATTGTAATAATTGCGACGCGTCCTACTAAGACGCAAACTAAGAATATTACGGCTTTTATCTTGTCTTTACCCAGTTTGTCACTGTGCAATGGTATTGGCCAAACGATTGACTAACGACGCGGTAATTTTTATTCAGGTATGAATTTCTGGTTGATTTGCGATAGGTTTTTAGCATTGTTTGGTTGCATTTTGCAATTTGCGATTTCAGATCACTTGATAAGGGCCCAAACCCGGGGCTGAAACGTTGTAATCGGTTTTTTTTATTAAAAACATTGGCCGATGTAGGTCGTTAAATCTTATAAATTTTGATTTCAAATTACTGGCGATATATAATTACTACTTTGGGTTTTGTTTCTTTTTGATTTTATAGTTCTTCATGTTATAGTTTACTATTTCTCTTTCTCTTTTATTTTTTCTTTATTTTCCTCGGTACAAAAATTTGTATCTAAAATACTACCAGATCATTATTGAATCATACTACGAAGAACATTTAACTTCACATTGATATCAGCACTTTCTCAATACATAATTGTCAGAGCTAATGCAAAGTATTTTCTTTGATGTAAGAAGTATGTACTTCCAACAGAATAGTTCTCCAGTCCATGATGCACGAACAGTTTAAAATTATCTTCAGGTATATGTTTGAAAATCATGTTACAAATACAACAATCGTGTTATGAACTAGTCCGATGACTGGCTTGTTCTCTGGATTTATCTCTGATGGATTTCTTTTTATAGGAATATCTGCAAATCTCTTATGTATCAAACACTAATTACTAATATTCACAATTTTCGAGAAAAGATAGTTAAAAGATAGTTAGATGCGAATAAGAGTGGCTATGCATAGTAATTTGTTAAAGAAAGCAGAACTTTATATTGCAGACACTCAATCTGAATATTTTCTTACCTAAGTTTTTTTATTCTTATACATAAAAGTTACGTTTCTGATAGTGCGATGTTACGGTTATGATGCGAACTAGTTACAATGCGAAAATAGTTCCCAGATAATGTTCAATGTTTATGTTTATATTTCTAGTCAAAGCTTGTATGCATTGCTATTTAACATAACGGTATAAATTTGATATTGAATATTAATAAAAGTTTTCTGATAGTGCGTTGAATTCGTATTGAAGTCCCTTACAATATTATGAAAAAAATTGCATGGTATCATTTAAAAAATTCAAGTCAATGACAGTTTTTCGTACGAAAACAAAGTGTTTTCCCAAATTTTTATTGCACGTGGCTTGCATGAAATAGATGAATATTCGTCTTGTAATTTTTTCTTTAAATTATCGGGAGTGTCTAAAAAAATCATGCGGATTTTAGACTGAACGCCCTATATATATATATATATACATATAATATAATTTAACATATATACATATAAACTGATGTAAACAATTATTGCAGCAAGCTGAACCAGCTAAGTCAAATGCCATTCCCGAAGACGAAGAAGGATCTCTAGTCAAATTGTCGTGCCATGATTCTGGTATCGATATCCGTGATCCTAATCCACCGGTTCCAGTAGTGCAGCCTATACCGTCGAAAAAAGTTTACTCAGATGCGGATATTGTCTTATCCTCGGATTGGGTTCCACCGATAACGATAGCACCAACGAATGTTACCAGTACGTTGGAAGCCACTTCTGCTATTAACGGCAGGAAGAAAGCCAGTTCGGTGTCCTTTAGCTTAGAGAGTAACGCGGAAGAGCCTGAGAAGGATGAAGAGCACAAGGAGGATGATAAGCAGGAAACTCGGAAGAACAAGGTACTAAATTTAACGTTTGCACAATAACGCGACGCTATATTCTTCACAGATATATTTCATGCATTTGTTTTGACATTTTAGATGCTGAAACGTCTGTCATATCCATTGTCCTGGATGGAGGGTTTAACCGGAGAGAAAGATGATGACAGCAGCAAATCTCTCTCTGATAAGATGTCAAGCCTTCCAAACAGCGCGGATTCCCATCATTCCTCTGTTTTCAGCAAAGTTTTCTCGAGGTGAACAAATTTATATCACATAGTGATAATTATCGACAACTAATCTAGCGTGTTTTTAATTATTTTCTATATATTTAAACATATTTTTACAACCGCTTTTATCTTCTTACACTCTTCTATTTATCTGCGCTAAGAATGAGTAACATTCTTGCAAAGATGCACATTTACAGAAAGGAAAAACGGATAATCTTATCGCTTTTATTTTAACTTGCTTTTTGCGAACTTCTATAGTATATAGCATACAAATGAGGTTATTTATAAGCAGTTATTCCTTATGTAACTTATTCGTTTATTGCCATTTTTTTCGTAGATAAAATCAACTTTATCCTTATGAAACAGGTATAGCCTCATTTGTTATAACTTAGCATATATTAGCTACTTGCATAGGGAGAGCTTCTGGCGTATGAAAAGCATTATGGAATACAAAACTCGGGAAAGGAATATATAAGTATAAAGGTACATAGACGACCAGTCCAGTCATCCGAAAGACTGATAGTTATTGCGCGGTCGATTATGACGAAACTCCAAGACGTTTATGTTGCGCCTATGTTGCATACGATACTAATTTAGATACTCATTAACGCTTTACTATCATTTCTAATGTAACTAACAAAGACTATGTAATGGTGGTGGAAAAAAGCTCGCCGATCAACCTGGTGAGTGACTTTAGCTCGGGCCTGTTTGCTAAAACACCCAGCGAAGAGAGTGGCGGGGGCGGTAGAGCGGGCGGAACTCCTCCGCTCACCGCCTCCTCTCTCTCCCAGGACTCCAGCAATTTCTCACCTGGTCCAGGAGGCCTTATCGGGTGAGTCTGGACCCGATCGTAACCTTGCATTGCTGTATTTCTTCCTTTCTCCTGGTCCTCCCTATTTTTTCCCTGATCTATGTACTTCTCATTTAATCGATACTTGTGTTGTTTCGGAAATGTTCTGTTCCAGTAGAATCCTCCTCGATGTTGCTACAGAAAGAAACGGTTCAATCAAGAAATGTAAATTGCGTACACACGCATTATGTAGAGTCTGTCAAAATATCCCGAGGATTCTACTGTTGAGATGTTTCTTCCTTCCACACACTGTTCCATTATTTCGTTATTATTTGTTTAATTTTGAAGATACTCTGGGATTGAGGGCTCCTGCTTTCAGGTAAATCATATTGTTTGCCGAAAATTTTAGGCGACAGACCCTATCGGTACTACTTTTCAGATCGCTTACCGCCAATTCATAATCAATTCAACATAGTGTTTAATATCGTATTATCAAGCAATCTCACGATTCATTGTTCGCCATTTGTACTGGATACATCTTGATTGTTAATCCCCATTATTATTATTATAAATGTTATTATCGCTTCTGAATTATGAGGATGTGGAAATTCAGTGTGTTACAACTTACAATTAGTCAAACGTGACAGCTAACATGTACTTGTCGTTCAGAAGCTTTTGGAATGTTGTCTGACAAAAAAGCCTCCCTGTGTCTCTTCAGTTTTCTTACAATTGCATTTCCTTTCAGACGCCCTTCCGTGGGTACTTTTATTAGACAGCAACCTTTAACATCTTCTGGCAGCAGCAGCGTTGATAGCAGTCGAGGTAGCAAAACTTCCGCGACGGCACCGCGACTAGATTACCGCAGTATGGTCTCAGTCGAGGATATGCCGGAATTGTTTGTGAGTTTCGACAGTAAGTATCGCAGCCACGTATCCAAAATATTTCGTGTCCTATCGGAATGGATAGTCTAACAATTATAATGCCATACTCCAAGAGACTTTCCTTTTACACAAAACACTTGTCGCTGTTATTTTCATATAACATGTAATATTGGTATCGATAGAAACGAATCGATGAGTAACGATAAAGGGATGGCAAACGGGATTAATATATCACGCACTGCACTTGCCCGTAAACGCATAATAGCTTTTTAAACCGTGTTGTTTTGCCAACTTATTGTCCCTGTCTCAGAATTTCGAGCGCCTTTAGCTACAAATTACTATGAATTTGTGTGGAAACAATTCTTTTCATGTTTCTTAAATTTTGTTAATATTGTACTTAAACCGCCAGGCAAACTCGGGATTGGTAACCACATGCGCTTAACTTGGTGTACATTAAAGTAGTCTATCATTGTTTTAGATCATATATTTGTTTGTCATTATCAGTTCCATACGTTATTCCATAAAATGAACGTTCAATATCGTTCGATGGGTAAAAACATTTGTCGAGCATTTTGGGGAAAAAGAAACGTGAATTATTCCGGTCTTGTTCGGTACAAATTAACATTCTACTTCTCATACATTAACTTATATTCTGATAAATATTTTTTCTAATAGTTTCTTAGTAAAACGACTGTGAACAAGCATTTTTCATAACATATTTCTTTACAAACAAAATGTATGGATATATCTTCAGAATCTTGAAACCCTTTGTGCCACACTGCATGTGACGGACGTGTCTTATTTCGATTTAAACAATTTTTTACTTGTCACTTTGAAGCATACTTAGCATAGAATTTCAGATTTTTCATATTAATATCTTCTATAATAATCGAATGAGTCTTTCAAGGCAAAACTATACTATTTCTGCGAGACATGTGTGACATGTTCGATTGTTATAGATTTTGGTAGCAACTGTTGTATATTTCTGCATCGATTGCTCAGTCACATCTTTCTGTCTCTCTTTCTCTCCAGTAATGTTTTATCTATTTCAGATTAGCACAACGGGTTTCATCATTTAGCTAGCAATAGGTTCATACTAATGCAGTAATGTCATTTGTTTCTGTTGCCCCTCTAGTCCAAGCACCTAATTTTCCCGAACTCGAAGGCCTGGGTAGGTTCATACAGTATTAGCTTGCTCTTCTCTCCTTGTGCCGCGAATTCCCAATTCTTCAGTTGCCTCTTTCGTACGTCTGTCAAACGTAACATGTTTTCGTCTCTCACCGGTCTTATTTACTGTCATGCATTAAACATGATTTGCGCAACTTACGGGCGACCAGTACACTGTGTCACTGTAATGGTTATTTCCATTCCATCACCATTTCTTGCTGCACAACTATTTTGTCAAACTCTCCTACAATATCTGTGAAACATGTATATTCTGTGCAATATGCACGATTCATCTATCACATTTCTATCCTCGTTGCTATCGTTATTCCTTTTACACGATAATTCTTACTCTGACACTCTCTACTCTACTTTTTTGTGGTAATGTGCTTGCCTCGTTTTCCAGTTTTATTCGTGTTTTCAACCTGTCTGTGTATTTACGTGTGATCTTTAGTCATTTTTAAAGAAACTCAGGAAAGAGAACCTTACATATCTATATAAATATATACGAGCTTTTTATCGCAAAAAGATTTCTTTGTTATAACGAAATCATGAGTCCTTTGCCTGGATTCGCGGATTCTATATCGAAAAGATATCTATTATAAAACTTGCATTACTGGAGTACCCGATCTACATTGATAAATCTTTTACACAGAACTGATCCCACGACCTGCTCGTTCCTGCGAGGACCCACCGTTGTACCTGAGACTACGAACAGGCAGGCCCAAGGACAAGAAGATACCACGGTCGACGCCAATTATGAGCTACGGCAAGAAGAAGCTGCGTCCTGAATACTGGTTCAGTGTACCGCGCAACAGGTAAGTTGTTTCTCACATTGCGATTTCTCGCAACGTCTCGTCACGTCCTCTATTGCAATGTTCAATCCCAGTTACATACTCTATAGTCGTTTCAAGTATTTAGTATCAGACTAATGTATGACCAGCGATCTCAGCTGTTATATGCAAATGAGCGTACCATTAGACGATATATGAGGAACTGAAAACTGTGCACTATAATGTTTGAACTGGTTGAATGAGTAAAGCTGATGGCAGAAAATGATCTGTAAACGATTAAGGCCCGGTTTCACCAAACGTCGCTTAACTTTAATCTTAGTTTAATTCATGTATGTCTCTTTCTTAGGGTAACAGTTGGAAAGACAAAGAACGAATTAAACTAAGCTTAAAGTCAAGCGACGTTGGTGAAACCGGGCCTAGGACCGTCTTGTGTCCATTTCTACCAATATACATTAACTTTAATCTTACAATTAGTTTAATGCATGTTTGTCTCTTTCTAAAGTAACAGTTGGAAAGACAAAGAACGAATTAAACTAAGCTTAAAGTTAAGCGACGTTGGTGAAACCAGGCCTAAGACTGTCTTGTGTCCATTTCTACCAATGTAGATTAACTTTAGTCTTAGGTTAAGCTCACTTTTATCTTTTTCTAATTCTTAGAAACAGAAAGAGATAAAAAGTAAGGTAAACCGAGATTAAAGTTAATTTATATTGGTAGGAATAGACGTTAGTCTTTTATAGACGTAAGCCACGACAGAGGAAAACGTAATTCGTATGCAACAGCCTTTCGTGGCTTACGTTTTTCTCTGCTCTGCCTTACGTCTATGACTGATACAGTCTTAAGCGTTTACTGATCTTTCTTCGCCATCAACCTTACTAAAAAGTCTTTTGATAAAATTTGATTATTTACGTTTAAAAACCATTTCATGATTTCACATGAGAATAAATTAATATTAAATTTGATTGTCGACGGAATAATACTTTCGTTTATGAATTGTTTACACTCCTTGTTCTTCGTTCCGCAGTTTATTCCCAACAAGTTTAAACGGGAAAACCGGATTTTTCGGAACTCGTGCATTTCTGGAATTTTATATATTAGGATCGGCGGCTTTTTTTTTAACGACTAAGTTGTCGAAAAACGTGTAGGCGCCGCGTTGTCCGCGATAAGTCAGTCACTTGATCATGCGCGAATAAATGTTGGACGGTGACGTTTCTCGATAGAAATACAGTAAATTTTCCTCAAGCGAAAAACATTAGCTGCGTTATTTTTGTATATAGAGTTTACGCACATCTCCACGAAAGAACGCGTTACAAACCGGACACGTGCTTCGTCGCAAGACACGCAAAATAGATTTTCGCCGGAACTTCTATTTATACGCTCGCTGATGCTCGATCAAGGTTTGCTGCGCGTCGGTTGCCAGTGTTTCTCTCGCTGCGGGTGTTTAAAAACTAGAAATATTTCTAGTTAAATATTTATAAATATTAACTATAATTATAAACCCGTGACGAAAATGCGCTACAATTTCTCGAGAAGTAATGTTCAACCTAGGATTATATTAGAGACACGCGTTTGTTCCCACTTCAATCTATTTATCGTATTCATTTCGTATCTCGTAGAACAAATGCATATCCCAATTGTAAAAGTGAGAGGAATACGTTCCACGTGTGTTGTTTAATTAAGATAATAAACCCAATTCTAAGAATCTCGAATATATCACCCACATGTATCATGATATCGCGTAAATCTCGTTAACACCCCTTTTCGAGTGCCACCTGTTTACAAATATCGGCCATTTCCCGGTATCACGATTGTATCGGCGATACGCAATTAAGATCTGCTCAGACGACTAGATTAAGGTCTCTATCGAGAACGACCTCGTTTCCTCGTATCAATCTGGATTCTTGGTAATCGCATTACATCATCAGATAAATTATAAATAGCTCATTAAATGTTACAAGAATAAAATTGATATCGCGTATCGGCGGGTGATAAAATTAAGCTCCTTTTTTGCGTGTTCAATATGTTGAGAGAAACCTTCAGGCTGTCCATGGGAAGTTGCTATAAAGCTAATTACAATAATCACCTGTCATTTTTAAACACAGGGAGTAGAAGTAAAATATTTTAATGTGGGGTATATTTGACTGTTGTATTTACACGTAAATTAAAGCCGATAAAGAATATATCATTTAACGAATATTTATAAAAAATGTTAAGTATCGCCAATATTTTACATTTTCAAAGTATGCATCGCTTGGAAACTTGATCTCTTTTGAGATGCTGTTTGCTATTTTTCTCACAGCTCGAATCAATTCTTCTATCGTTTTAGTTTGGCATAGCAATTTAAGATTGTCCTGCACGAAAAAATTGCATTGTTTTAAATCTGAGGAGTACAGAGATCACTTTGTGCCTTTTTGAACAAGCTTAGGATAATTACTGGATTTTCATAAACCTTAAAAATAGTTTTAAGAATAGTTTCTCTGGTGAATTGTTATTTGGTAAGGGTGCAATTTCAAAAAGAATTTGAGAATTTTGTGCAGTGATAATTGATATATTTCAAGTGCTCGAACAGCTTTCTGACTGGAAGCACTTTCAGGATTTTCATGAAAACACTGCTCAACCTTATCAACTTCATGTTTGGTCTTTGCTGGAAGAGCCTGGTATCATATCTACGGTCCTAAAGTGTACCATATTTCAGAATTTATCAATTAAGCCAACGGCACACGATACTATTTTTCCCTACTGGATTGCTTACGAGAGCCGATCAGAATTTAGCCTTAAGTCACCTGATCGAAAACTCTGCATTCTGAGTGGCTCTCGCAAGCTATCCAGTAGGAACGATAATATCCTGTGCCGTGTGGCTTTAGTCTGTGAGAAAAGAGAGTAGAGTTATTTTAATGCATTAAAGTTGTATGAAGGATTCATGAAGTGCGTATAACAGGATACACTGGAGTGAAAAAATTGAACTTTAATACGGGAATAAAAAAATTACACCCCTTTAAAATGTTTTAGAGCTAACTTTGCGCGTGCTAAAATTATTAAAACGAAATCCTCTATGAACAGTACTATATGTTTTGTCTCTAGAGAGGAAGCACTCGATGAGATAAACTTTTTCTTCCGCCGTGAGACCGCACATTATGACGCATGCGCTCCAATTCCAACAACTGCTAATCTAACAATAAGTCGAGTTGTCGATTTAAGCTTAAATACTGCGAGCAGAGAATTTTCTACGATCAAAAATTCCGATTGTGGCAGAAACTCGATGTATATCGTAAAAAAATACCGCTAAGAATAACATTTAATATGTTGTTGCATATTCTTTCCGCGTATAATAAACAGGTTGTTCAGAACAGGGGGTACCAAATTTTAGAGGTCTATCTTGTAGCCAATCAACACACTGCAAACATTTGTCGTATTAGATTTGTTGTAATATTAGTCTAAAGGTCCATTTACTCTTTGTCTCTCTCTCTCTTTCTCTTTCTTCACAAGCTTCAGCTTATTCAATGGGACGCTCAGTCTATATTTACTATGTCTATGACTGACACTAATGGAAATTCACGAGACTGAACAGACACGTCACGGATATGTGTAAATGGACCTTAAGGCTGTATTATTAGGCTACGTTGGGATGTGTCGGGCGTGCATTGAGATATGTACACACAGAAAAATATTATTGTACAGTCAAGAAAAGTAATTACTCCGTTTATTTTATTCCGTTTAAGTAATAGTACTTTGCTTCAACAAAGAATATTTTCTTAATAATAGTTTTAAGATATACTTGTTACTAGTCTTAGAAAAGCTTGCCGTCTTACACTCAAAGAAAGAATTTATTCTTCTTTGAAGAAAATTATAAAACTTATTGAAGAATTCCGTATGCCTCTTTTAAAAAAATCAGAAGAAACAAAATTGTTTTGCTTCAAATAATTCTATGTATTCTTGTTTCAAGTACTAGACTTACTAAGAACCAGAATATGTTTTGAGTAAATATAACACTTGCGAGACGACATTATGATGAGATTTGCGGATATATAAACTTATCAAATACTCGGAACAAATAATATTTACTTGCAGGTAGTATATATTGTTCTGTGTGTAGAGTCGAGGTGGGGATGGCTGGGAGAATTGGAGGTGGATCGAACATCTGCTGCAAATTAAATGAAATTAATTTTTTATCTATAGACAGATTTTATCTGAAGCAGAAAGCGCTTTAATATTTTATAAATATTGTGAACCTTATTGTTTTACAACGTGGTATTTTTGATTATCATAGAAACGTTTCCAGAACATTATATTAACTGTTTTACCAATGTCAAGTTCAACATAGCTGCAGCAGTTTTAACACGTTACAAATTTTATTGCAAGCTTTACGTTCGACCGATAGATGTCGTAATTTCTCGTAAGAGAAATTCATGTAGTCGCGATATAAAGAGGAGCCTGATTTGAAGTTCAATCATCTGATTAACACTCATTAGCCGAAATGACTAGAGGGTGTGTTCGGAAACGTCACCCGGGTGAACTGTCTCTTCCGTTTTGTGGAATACATTCCGCACTCATTCGCAATATCGAAGACAATAAACAATGTGTGACAAAGGCTCGTATGATATAAATCAGAATCGAGGAGAAAGGGCTCTGAGCCGTGACGAGATGTACGTGTCAAATTATAAAATAATTTATTGTTAAACTAACATAAAGATTAAACGTTTCGGTCGAATTCTAGACCATCTTCAGTAAAATACAATAATTTTATACAAAGTGTCGTGACGGTTAAATTATTAAAACGCATGTCGTGTACAAAATTATAAAAAACGTAGGTTGAAATAAAGGTAATGTACCAAAATGAGCTGTAAGGAAAATTATAAATTGGTTTTATAATTGGTAGGAGAAACAGAATTAGAATTAGAATACGTATTTATTAGTTATGTTATACAATATGTTATACAATAAACAATACCTAACAATACTGTTAAAAGAAAGTTTAAATTTTTATCATTCACTGGATATTTATTCAATTACTTATGAGACGTTATATTGAACGTACAAGAAAAACATTATTCACAATGTTAAGACACTCTCATTTCAATGTTATTATAATATTTAAATTGCTAGCAAAGTTTGTTTATTATGACGTCGATTACAACGTTAAAACCCACATACTGAACGTTACATGTTACTGAATATCGTTGTAATAACGTTATATTAATGTTCATTTGCTCTTACTGGGATACAAGTATTTATTCATAATCTCGTTTGATTGCGGAGGCGGGAGATTTTAGTTTGAACCTGGGTAACGGCTTGTAAATCAAATTCAACGATGCCAGCTGAAGATAAAGTTATTGGAGTGGTCTAGAATTCAGAGCTCGATGGATTAGGATTTAATATATTTACTGCGCGATGCGTATGCGACGTTTTGCGGATTACGTTTGCGATTTGCAGTAGCGACGTCCGACCGAACTGAATTAAAATTCGACTCTGTGCCGGCACTACTTTAGGGATCTCTCAGAATAATTCTTTGCGTCGATCCAAGACCGGATTGCGACGGAAACGGGTTGAAATGAATTCCGCGTTTGCCGGACTCCGCATTGTTCGGCGGGGCAGGAAAAACCGCGACGAGAGAGCCTTGACTGGCTAAAAGGCTGAAAAGAAAAGAAACATGTCGACGCGATAAATACGGCGCGCAACAACGTTCAGCGAGCGACGAGACGCGTACGAGACTAAAGTGCAGGTGTACCGAGCGTATCGGCGGCACGTGACACGTCCGCGAGTCGCCTGTCGACATTCGCGACGTATCTGGCAGCCGCTCCGTTTTCCGGTCGCTCTTCGCTCCGCGTACGAGACGTGTATCGCCGAGTGCGGCGCGCGTTACGCGTTTAACCCGGGTGCTTCGTCGCGCGAAGGACGGGACGGTGCGCCGCGAATCAATCGCCCACGTGTGTCGCGCGTAAATATAAAACAGTATCGCGGCATAGCGAACCTGTTGCCAGGAGGTTAGAAACGGAGGCCGCCGATAACGAGCGCTGATACGCGCCTCCGTATCTCTCGCGAATCGGCCCGGGATAATTGGTCGCCCACGCGCGCGCGCGCGCACGCGCTAGGCGCGACACTCGCGGAGCGAGCTAGCCGCGCGTTGTTTCACCGCGGTCCGACGCCGCCTCGCGTTTACGGCGCGACGATGAATCAGGCGATGAGCGCGGTCGGCGGTATGCTGAATTTTATTTACGATCGCCACGTGAGAGGAACGGTGAGGGGCGTGATGCCCTTCGTGCAGCGCAGGTAATACATGGCGCGCGACGCTCCGCGGCCGCGGCCGCGTGGGCGTCGTTGAATTTTGTTTATAACTCGGAAGCCTAAAGCCCGTGTCCCACAGCCCACTACGTACTGCGGACGCGGATTGGATTGGGATTACGGATTGCGGATCACATTTCAGCCAATCAGACGAGGCGGCCTTGAACCCGATTGGTTGAATTTCGATCCGCAATCCGTAATCCCAATCCAATCCGCGTCCGCAGTACGTAGTGGGACACGGGCTTAAAGGTCCCATTTCATTGACGCTACGATTTAGCGTCAAATATAGTCACGTGACTAAATTTACCGCTCGCCTAGGGAAGGAGAAGTAGTTGCAAAATATGAGCGTCGTAAAACCACCGCTGGCTGCGTTCAAAAACACCACCCGAGTATCCCAGAGTATCATTTTATCCTTGTTTAACATACGGTGAGCAACAAGGATAGAATAATACTGGGGTACTCGGGTGGTGTTTCTGAACGCAGCCCTTGTCACACCATGGCACACTGAAAAAGTTGAAACGGTCTCAACTTTTTCCCCCCTTCGTCGAGAAGTCACTAGAACTCATTTGCCACTGGTTTCTAGCGTCAATGAAATTGCGGCATAAATGCTGTCCCTATCCTTGTGAGGTGCGCGCACACAACTACAGGGACTCTAGTTGTGTGCGTGCACCTCGCAAGGATAGGGACAGCATTTATGCCGGTGCGTGTACATCATACGTTGTGCAATCGTGCGTGCGTGGAGTTGTTTATTATACGTAGTCCTTGCCGTGTGCCATAAACAATTCCCCGCGCGCCTAGCAACGCCGATCGCGGGACGGCCGCGTCTCACCGCGAGCTTGAATTGGGCGGTAGACCGGGCTAAGGCAGCGATTTTTAATAATTAATAACTCGTTAACTATCGCGAAAATTGCAATATGGTAGAGGGCTTTTCGACTCGGTCTAATCCGCTCTCCCCGTAAATAAGAGGTGAGGCGGGTATTACATAACAACTTGTATAATAAACATTAATAATAACAGCGCTTAGAACTTCCTCAAAATATCCTGGATGCATTAAAGATAATCTTGAGGAAATATTGTACTATTTAAGTAACTATCTCGGACATTTCATTATGCATGCCTGATTATATTTCGATGAATCTATGGTATATCGAAAATATAGAAATCTATTTTGTTATTTTGTATGAATAGATAAAAATAAAAATCTTACTATACAGATTCAAGAAAGTAGATGTAAGACGAGCAATTTACTTGGTTAACGAGTTGTTAATTATTGAAAATTGCTGTCTTAGCCCGGCCTACCGTCCAATTCAAGCTCGCGGGGAGACGCGGCCGTCCCGCGATCGGCGTTGCTAGTCGCGCGGGGAATTGTTCACTTGACACACGGCAAGGGCTACGTATAATAAACAACTCTATCTCTCTGTGCAATTAACTCTTGGATTGATATAAAGAATTAATCTCTTGAAAATAAATGTAATGCGCAAATGAAAAATGTCACACACTCACATGTCCCTTGTAATATGAAAACGTGAAATGTTAATCCGTGATGTCGATTGTCTTAACTTCCAATAACTTTATCTTCAGCTGGTATCATCTTTGAATTTTCTCTACAAACTGTTATTTATTTTCAAGTAAAACTCACTAAAACTAAAATTGTAAGTTACGCAATTATCTCTTTGTACAATTCATTCTTGGATCGACGTAAAGAATTAATCTTTTGAAAATAAATGTAATGCAAGATGGAAATGTCACGCATACATGTCGCGTGTAATATATAAAAATATTAATTTTTAATCCGCGATGTCGATCTGTTTTTAGATCATTCCAATAACTTTATCTTCGGCTTGCATCATTGTTGAATTTTCTCTACAAACTATTATTTACTTTCAAATAAAAATCTCTAAAACTAATTGTACGAGTTATAAGAGTATCTCCCTATGCAATTAATTCTTGGATCGGTATAAAGAATTATTGTCTGGTGTAACGCAAATCAAAACGTATTGTACTAGAAAAAATATTAAAAACCCGTGATGTCGATCCGTTTTTCAGACCATTCCAACAATTCTATCTCCAGTTTATATCATTGTTGAATTCTGTTCATAAGCTCTTATCTAGTTTTAAACTAAAATCTGTAAAAATGGGAGCTATACAGTTATTTCTCTGTACGATCCATTTGCGAAGAGTTATTTTCCAATCGAATGAAAACGCGTATCAAAACATCACACCTGTGTATCTCGTGTAGCAACAAAAATATTAAATTTTAATCCGCGTCGATCTGTTTTTAGATTATCTCCAGCATCATCGCTCAGTTTTATTTATAAATTGTCATCTACAATAATTTAAAAATCTAAAATCTCACCTGTGCAACGATAGTATTACAAATATTCTTGCATTTTACCCAGAAAAGATATGCAATAATAATAGATTAATTAACATTCTTGTTTATAAATATACAACTCAACGGCATAAAAAAAAACATAGAATTTTCTGCGGAATCTTTGCTCGCAGTATTTAAGTTTTAAATCGATAGTTCGATAAATGAATTGATAACAAATAAACAATTGGAAAATTGGGAACAATTTTTTCTCTACCGAACAATGATACAATTAACGGTTACATTTTCTTCCTTCTCTCTTTGCAGAGTGGACGATCTGTACAGGTTCATTCACGCGTGGGTGCCGAGTCTCTACGGCGAGCTGGATGAGAACTACTGGCGGGAACGCGGCTACATCCTGTCCGATACCGACACCGACCTGTCGCCGGAACTGTCGCCCCACGAGAGCGGCGAGGGCGCGGATTCCGCGGAGGAGAGCAAGACTCGCGATGGACAAGGTGACGACATCAGCGAGTTGACGAGGGAGTCCTGGGAGGTGAGTGCCGATTGGGACGACGGCCCACATGATCTTTCCCTGCGTCTAGACGGAGACTTTTTCACAAAGTTGCTACTGGAAATTGGAGAGTCTTGAAACTTTCCTCTTTGACAACAACTTTATTCCGCCTTATTTTCAATTTTATTCCTCGCTCGTATAAACGTATTGTTATGTTGCCTGCAACTGGGGAATTCCGTTTCAACAGAAACTCGAGTCTCGCGTCAATGACGGAAAAATATCGGAGTGTTATGATCGTCACTTAAAGTCTCCGCGGAGAAGTTGCCTCTGGATGCCGGAATTTGAAATCGTGGATTTCGAATTTTGCAGCCTCGTATAATTCGTCGAAGAGAAAGAGATCGCTGTTCCCGAGACTTTTCGACAGACGCATCGATCTCTTTCTCTGTAACTTTTGCGAACAATCCCAATTTCGCTGATAAACCGATCCTCGTGTCGACCGGCTGTCAACGGCGAGACACGCTGAGTATTTCGCGAAATCGCGAGCGTGCGATTCACCCGTTACCGATGGTAACGTCAAAGGCCAATTCCGTTCCGGCGCTCGTTGCGCCGAACGCGGCCGTCGATTTTCGACGCGAGGATCGCGCGGGGGGCTCGATTGCACCTCGACGATGCCGCGGCTGAGAACGCCTGCTAAACACGGCCGATTCTATTGGCCGACAGCTGATCAAGGCCCCCTACGTAAAGCTGTACAGCATCCTGAAGACCTCGAGCACGTCGGCCGATTCCGAGCAGATCCAGGATTCGGAGGTACCGATCGCTCCGCCCACCTCCCCGGTGATATCGTCGATATCTATCATTAGGCACCCTAATTGCTCGATGTTGAACAATGCACCTCTTAGATAACACTGCCGCACCCTAGACCTTGTTAGATCTCGGGTGCACCCCGTTGTCACGCGATGTTGCGACCGTGCCTATCTCGCGTACTTGGTGTCCTTTTTTCTTCCTTTTTTTTTAGTCGACCCTTTCAACCCGCTTTGCCCGCTTCGACTGTTCATGTCTCCGGTAAACGTCACAGCTTACAGTTACGTCAACATCAATATCATAATTTCCTACTCAACAATATAAATGTAAAGGCCTGTGCCCACGATGCTAGAACTTGGTCCAAGTCCCAGTTTAGAAATGTGTAGCTCTTCCATAGAAGCTGCAAGTTGATTGGCTACACATTTCCCGGAACTAGGACTTGGATCGCGTTCCAGCATCGTGGCACCTTAACACACGCTGTACAGTGATGGACAGGAATGGTTGCGACACGGTTTTTTCAAATGAGCTTAGGAACTCGAGAAATAGATCGGAAACGCTCGAAATGGTTTCGGAATGGCCATCGAGTAAAATATTCTTCGGAGAAGATTTTGAAATCGTAACCCTCAGGCCCGTATCAGACACGCTGAGATTGAGATTAGATTGAAATGTAACCAATTAGAGTAAAGTTTACTAATCTCAAGTTTAGTGTGGCTCTTACTCTAATTGGTCAAATTCCAATCAAATTCTAATCTCAGTCCGTAGTCCGATACGGGCTTCAGTATAAATGCATGTTCCTAGACTCATTAAAAAGGGATGTCGCAACCATGCTGTCCATCACTGTACACAACAGTTACATTGTTGAGGTGGAAATTATAATGTTGACGTTACGTAACGGTTAGGTGGTGTTTACTGGGTTGATACGTCATCACGACTTAGTTGACGTTCTCGTGATGCGAAATAGTTTGTAGAGAATTCTTTACGATCTTGCTGTTTACACTCTCGCCATTCTCATTCATGCCCTCGCGGTAACTCACGGACAATGATGTTACGGGCCAACGTACGAGGGACCTGGCTTCAGCGACTTCGTTTAAACAATCTCTCGCTCCTGGTGTTCGGACTTCACATTCGAGCTAGGCTTATCCTCCGGCTCTTGTCTCGAATCGCACATCACTCCCGAAAACAGATTGCATGCACCTGTTCCTCCTGGTCGTAGAATATACTCTCAACTAGAATCTAGATGAATGTGCAGCATGCACTTGTTCGATACTCTCCAACTCGCGCATGCACAATGTTTTTATCGTGTTTCATTATTATCGTCTCCTTTCTCTCTCCCTCTCTCTCTCTTTCTCTCTCTCTCTATATATATATTTGTATATCTCATAATACGTCTCAATAGTTCTCATTCTACCAATTTTTCGCAGACTTCGTCACGCCGTGTGCGATTCGAAATACTTAGAACGCACTTTCCGTACTTGTCGATTCGTACGACTTCATGCAAACGTTGCGTCGAAGACGTTAAAGATTATCGATTCCAAGGCGAAATGGTAATTGTGATAGACAGCGTTTGTGCCGGGAGTGCGAAGCGGGGAAACATAATAGTTAGCTGGGTATAAAAGATTGGAAATCTATTTCCTTTGATTGTTTATGTTGTCTGAAAAAACATCTGACAGTAATAGGATCCCCCCCCCCTCTCTCTCTCTCTCTCTCTCTCTCTCTCTCTCTCTCTCTCTCTCTCTCTCTCTCTTTTTTCTCTCTTTCTCTCTCTGTATCGTCGAAGAACTTCTAACAGCATTCTTAATAACACTTCCTCATGAAACGGTGGACAAACCGGTGTCTCTAACTTGTTTACGGAGGAATGAGGCTTGGACATTGACGACGCACTAAATGGCGTATACCTTGCGTGATGTAAGCATGCAATAATGTAGATCAACTTGTGTCAAGAGTCATACTCTATGAACTAGTCGGCGCTTGCATAATATCGATGCATTATTAATGAGAATATTGATGACACAGGCGGTGTAAGTTGACACAGATGTATATCATTTCTTGGGAGAATTGCGTGCGCTCGCTCGTTTTTGTAACATGCAGGCAATTTTTCTTTTCTTTTCTTCAAATACCGGATTAAGTTAAATTGAAAAAGCTTCGCCTCTCGTTTCTAAATGTCTTATTTTCTATTTAAAAAAAACGAGTGCCGATAGGTTAATAAAGGTTGAATTCCATTGTGAAATAAAGTTAATAATAACGCTCTTATCGAGATAAAAACAATGTTGCAGCCGAAAGGAGATACGGCATGTACTTATCGTACTCGGATATCGACTCCAGATAATAAAAAAAAATATTTTAACGCTGTCTCCTCTGTGCTGTAAATTCGAAAACTATTTTTTTCGCTTATTTATTCCATTCATTCTATTTAATTCTGTTTAATTTGTTCAATTTAATTTAATTTACTGCTAAGTAAGAGGTACGGAGCACAGAGAAATATGATATTAGAATAACGCAAAAGGTGAGGCACCAACAAAGTAGTTGCTTCACTGCCTACCCGATAGGAAGAGCAGAAACAAAAACGCAAATTGTCAAAGCGCAAGACTACAAAATGAAAACAAAAGTAATATACATATAATATATACAGGGTGTTATGTAATACCCACATCAACGCTTATTGTGGGATAGAGTGGACTAGACTAAGTCGAAAAGTCCTCTACCATTTTGCACTTTTCGCAAAAGTCAGCGAGTTATTAATTATTAAAAATCGCTGTCTTAGGCCGGCCCATTGCCCAA